GGAAGACATCTACCTGGTCAACTGATTGGAAGAAACCCATATTTGTGCCCATTTCAAAGAGAGGTGACCCAATGGAATGTGGAAATCATTGGACAATATCATTAATAACACATGCAAGTAAAATTTTGCTAAAGATAATTCACAAAAGGTATAACAGTACGTTGAAAGAGAACTGCCAAAGATACAAGCCAGATTCAGATGAGGATGTAGAACAAGGGATGTTATTGCTGACGTCAGATAGATCTTAGTCAAAAGCTAAGAATATCAGAAAGATGTTTGCCTGTGCTTTATTGATTATGCAAAGGCTTTTGACTGCAAGACATTTGAATATTACATTGCCATTAAGAAGGATGTTGTAGAAGTATATTTTTGACATGCAAAGATTTTCATAGTACACTGTTAGGTAAAAAAAGCAAGTTAAAGGACAATTTACATCCTGCAATCCCATTTTGGTAAAATATAAATATATATAGAGAGAAACTATTCAGAAGTTACCAAATGTTAACTAAATAACAGGTTGTTATTTTTGAGAATCAGAGTTTGAGGCAGTATTATTAATCTTGTCTTTGTATATAATTACAGTTTCTTTAATTTTTAATACCACCACTCGTCTGTCAGTTTGTTGTACTGTGGTGGCTTGTGAGTTGATGTGATTCTGGAAGCTATGCCACCGGTATTTTAAATACCAGCAGGGTCACCCTTGGTGGACAGGTTTCAGATGAGCTTCCAGATGAAGACAGACTAGGAAGAAGGAGTGACTATTTCAGAATATTTTAGTTACTGAAAACCTTATGAATAGCAGAGAAACACTGTCAGATATAGTGCTGGAAAATGAGCCCCTTAGCTTGGAAGGCACTCAAAATGTGACTGGGAAAGAGCTGCCTCTGCAAAGTAGAGTTGACCATGATGACACTGATGAAGTAAAGCCCCTGGGAGTAAAGCCTGAGGGACCTTCATTTGCTGATGGGGCACACCTCAAAATGTAGAGAAACAGCTGTAACATCTATTAATAGTCGGATATATTACCAAGTATGAATCTAGGAAAATTGGAAATTGTCAAAAATGAAATGGAACGTATAAACATTGATGTCTTAGGCATTAGTGAGCTGAAATGGACTGGTATTGGCCATTTTGAATGTGACAACACATGGTTTACTATGCTGGGAGTGACAAATTGAAGAGGAATGGTGTTGCATTCATTGTCAAAAAGAA